CCAAAAAAAAGAAGGTTTTAGTAAAACAAATGATTCATTTGATTCAAATACTGCTATCAATAGTAAAACTAAAGCACTAACTATTGTTGATTACAATTACTGCTAACCGTTTGTTGTCTATAATACAGCTATTATTAAATGTTGATTTCATTTACAAAACATAATTGCATTTCTAGTTAATAGTAGAGACGCAAAACGCATTCAATTGCGAGCGAAAAAACTTTTATTACTTTTATTGTCGATTATTTTGAGCCCGGAATATAAGCCTTATATAAAGTGTAATATATATAAGTTATGTGGCGATCGATTAATGAAGACAAGGCAATGATATATTAGTATTAGTGCTAGAAATTAATTAAAAACATACCAATTGTTGAGATGACAGTGAGGCTGAAGAGGAAAGCACCAGAAAAAGACCACTGTTCCTGACCCATATCCTGTTGCCCTTCATAGCCATCTTTGATTGCCTTCAGTAGATCGCTCTGAAAGCTCTTGATCTCATCCACAATCGATTGTCGCCACACACTATAGTTGAAGACGTTATGATTGTATGCTATGGTTAAGGCATGAGAGGGACAGACAGACAGTCAGTCAGATATGAATACAAGACACGAAAACAATTCATTCATTCACTCGTATATCAGACATGATATAAGAATTCATAGCAAAACAACAAGAAAACAGTTCAGACATCAATTCACTGGACATTATATATCATACTTATATTCCACAAGTGATGAATGGTTTTGTTTCGCAATTCATTGACTTGTTTGGCGGTCTGGACCTCGAAGGGAGCCTCGAGTGCTCTAAACATGAAGGCGCCGCCGACAGAGTAGGCGACCACAAGCACACAGAGGCCAACGTTGGACACGAGGAATGCGAGAAACTTTCGGCAACAAGTCTTGCATTTGGATGCGGGCGGACGCCTGTCGTCCTGCACCGGACCCACACCCTGTTCTCCACGATGTCGTGCACTTCTTCGCGTCGATCTCTTTCTATCCAAAGCCATATGAGAACCACAACTACTTACTATCCTAACTGTTGCTACACTTTGCCAAACATTGAGAGCAGGTCTGTATTACTGCCAAAAATTCTTCGCCTAACAAAAACACTACTCCGACTATAATTAACAATATTTTTGGAGAAACAATCCTTTACCACATGAACGACACACTCAGGAAGAATTGGGAAATATCTTTGTATTTGTTATGAAATTCTATATAGTTTTAGAAAATACCACTTAATAATTGTATAATTTTAATGAAACAGAAATATACTTTCATAATGTATGCCATAATATTGTAGTTTATATTTTTACGCGAATAGTATTATATGTTTAATAATAATAACAAGACTTCAATAGTAATTAAGATCAATGTTTTACTTGTATTAAAATGAGTGAACATAATAATTATGTGCGAAAATGTACAGAATATACTCATTACTACTGGGAATGCAATCACATAGAGATTATATAATGTAAATAATATGTATTTTTTAATGCGATTTAATGAAAAAGTTTATTTTAAAAACTATACAATGAATATAAGGGCTAATCAAATGAAATAATGGATTTCTAGTTTGACTCAAAAGCCTCGTTAAGTCGATAATTACACGCAATGGATAGCAATGATAGAGGAGTGCGTGCTTTGAAATCACAAAGAGATGATAGCTTTCAATATCTGACACTACATTCAGACAGAAGAGAGAGAGAGAGAGACGCAAAACGCATTCAATTGCGAGCGAAAAAACTTTTATTACTTTTATTGTCGATTATTTTGGAGCCCAGAATATAAGCCGTATATAAAATGTAATATATATATATAAGTTATGTGGCGATCGATTAATGAAGACAAGGCAATGATATATTAGTATTAGTGCTAGAAATTAATTAAAAACATACCAATTGTTGAGATGACAGTGAGGCTGAAGAGAAAAGCACCATAGAGAGAGAGAGAGAGAGAGAGAGAGAGAGAGAAATATCAATACAATAGTGGCGATGGATTAGTGCCCGAGAAGTCAGTGGCAAAAGAGCACTGCTCTGATATTAGTGACATAATAATAAGTTTATATACACTGTTATATTACTCTCATATACAGTATATATTTTGTTTCATTATGTTTGTGACAAAATACTAATGTATTTCTGCATTAAAAGACATTTTCTTTAATTCATTACGAGTTTTGATGTGCTTTTTACACACGGAATAGCACTTCAATTATTCATACAATTGAAGTAAAAAATATAACTATCCGTCAATTCACTGATGATATGATTTCGTAACTAACATGTATTTTTTTTGTAAAAAAATGTGTATACAGTAATAAATGGTGTATTCATTTGTAATAATGGAGACAATAATTATTTAGAGAATGACATACAATGGGAAACTAGACTTAAATTACAAAGTTTTCAAGTATTTTGTTAAATGAATAGAGAAATAATGGGAGACCAAAACTATCACAATCTCATAACTAATAATATACAAAACATTATTAATTTTAATGTTATTATTACATTCATTTGTTTAATTCAAAAAGTAAATTACATTTTAAGCAAATTAGATATCATTTGTCACCGAAATCAGTAGAAATTAAATTTTTGTTATTAGTCTCACATTTTTATTATTAATCGCTTTTCGACTAATATTTAACTTAACAATTAATTATGGGTTTGTTATCTATTAAATTCATATATAAATTATCGATTCACTAAATCATGGATTAATTCCAGTAAAAATGCCAAAAATATAATATAATTAATTGATTTCTATTACGAGAAAAATATATTATTCTGCTTTTATTCTCATAGTTTTGGGGTTTATTTTTTGTCTTTAATAGTGATGTTGATTATGATTATGTCAGTGACCATAATGTAAGTCAAATAAACAATTGTCTCGTTTATTGAGTTAACAATCGATTACATGGCTATGGTTTGTATTATATTGTAAGGCATTAAATGATGTCCATATCATATCTCATATTTTCCTAATGCATTGGATTTTTGTCATTTTTAATGTTTTCCCTGTTTATGAAAATATTTATTCAAATATAAAACTTCTCAATATTTTTGCACTTCTAACATTTGTCTTTAAAATTGTTTTATTTTAGTTGTTTATAATAAAAACTTTAGTGTTATTGCAATTATCCCTAATATCGATATTAATAAAAAAGCTTATAAAGGATTTCCTATATTTTCTTTAATTTATATTTTGTGGGTTTTATTCACTTGTAAATTGAGACATAAAATGTGATATATTCTCAGATTTTGGCTAAATTTTATTTTTTACTTTATATAAAAAGAGTATAAGACGTTCATAAAAACTAAAACTATTGATATAAGAGTATAAAATATATGTCTGTAAACCAATCCTTGATTTATATCTCAATTTTATGGTTTTATTTGCCAATAAATCCTTTCGATATGTTTTTTATCGGTTATGAAAACTACCATGATTAAAAAGTAATTTTAATTTAATAATAAGTCAGTAAAATGAGTGCAAAATAGCTCAAACTCAATACAAATGTCTACTGTTTGTAAAAATTCATTGAATTGAGTTTAAAATTGCGTAAAAGTGGAGAAAATCTTAAATTATAATCTGAGTTCAAAAACAATATTTCTCTTTTTAATATAAGTCCTACAATACTGTATAACTCATTGCCTTTTATTATATAACATAAACCATATATTCTGTATATTGATTCTCAAAGGAGTACTGAAACTAGAGTTCATTTTTCCAAAAAGAAAAAATTAGACAAAAAATATTTTACGAAAGAATTTCTAATTTTTTCTTTTTTTATTCAAATTTCAATTCTATTCTAAGATTAATATTATTTTTATTCCAATTTTACTTTTATTGCAAAAAACGGATTTTTCTCAAAAGAAAATCTGATTTATTTGGCTTTGATTTAAAAGTTTATAACATTTTTTATTAAGGATTTTATAACAACAAGAGTTTTTGATTTTAAAACCCCAATGGGTTTTAAGTTCAAGTACTTATATTTGCAATATTTATTTATAAAGTTATATTTAAATAATTCTTATCTTTAAAAATATGTTATTATATTTGCAAGAAGTAGTAATTAATATATACTACAGAATAAATGTGTTACACTTTTGAAAGCATTTGATTTTTATTACTTTTCATACTATTTATAAAAATATTGTGTATATTTTGAATTAATTATAAATTATCATCAAAATGTAAAACTTATGGAAAAGTTATTCATGAAATGAGAATCAAATAAAATAATTGAATAATTTATGCAAATTATTGAAAGAAGACTCCTTTAATGATAAATAGGAATTTTAAAGTAAACAGTTTATAATTAGCTAAATGTATAGTAGTTTTCACTTTTAAATCATTTTAATTTTTAGTGTTTTGTTTTCTTAAACAATGTCTTTGTATATAAAAGTTTGACAAAAGGATAATAAAAGGGAAAACAAACTGAAGTTTTAAATGCTGTCACACTTTCGACGATCTCTTGTGTTAAAGAATTTTATTAAAAGAGAGGAATGGATATAAGTTTTGCGATAGTCTTCACAATAGGCTTCATGTGATTGAGTCGCGGAGATAGAGGAAAATGAAGCGTAAAAACATGAAATGAGAGCAAAAGAGCAATCGCTGAATGAGTATTGTTTCAGTTGGAAGTCAACACTGGGATCAAAATGAAAGGCATCGCTTCCAGACATCCACATCTCTCTCTCTCTCTCTCTCTCT